CACCCCACCACCAGCAGCCCGCCCACGCTGTCGCCCTGGCCGCCCCAGGTGCCCACCGCCAAGCCGCCCTCCAAGCCCACCGTCAAGCCGCCCACGTCCGCGCCGCTGCCCGGACCCACGCCCGCCCCGGAGCCCATGGACGCGAGCTGCGGCGCCAAGAACGGCTACCAGGACCAGGAGAGGATTGTCGGTGGCCAGAACGCCGACCTCGGAGAGTGGCCGTGGATCGTGAGTAACTTGGCCCTCGTCACCCTGGTTCCCACCACCTCAATGCCTGTTCTGTGCTCATCGCTCGTGTCCTTTGCAGGCGGCGCTGTTTAACGGCGGACGGCAGTTCTGTGGCGGTTCCCTCATCGACTCGACGCACATCCTCTCGGCCGCCCATTGCGTCGCCCAGTGAGTCGCTCACCCCGCACACATATGTTACCTCGCACTCGCTCTAAACGCTCACGCTCCATCTCTCTCTCCTCTCTCTCTCTGCCCACAGCATGAGCTCCTGGGACGTGGCCAGGCTCACGGTGCGTCTCGGTGACCACAACATCAGGACCAACACGGAGACCCGCCACATTGAGAAGAAGGTCCGGAGGGTGGTCAGGCACCGCGGCTTCGACTCCAGGACCCTGGTGAGGAGAGGGAAAATCGTCCTCGGCGAGGTCGAGTGCTCTGACTGAGGAACTCGGTGAGGGTGGCACTGACGGGGGTGTTTCGTCCGCAGTACAACGACGTGGCCATCCTGACGCTGGACTCCCCCGTGCAGTACCGGAGGGACATCAGGCCCATCTGCATGCCGAGCGGCAGCGCGGGGTACTCCGGCAAGACGGCGACCGTCATCGGCTGGGGCAGCCTGCGTGAGAGCGGCCCGCAGCCCGCCGTGCTGCAGGAGGTCAACATCCCGGTGTGGACCAACGCCGAGTGCCGACAGAAGTACGGCAACGCGGCGCCTGGCGGCATCGTCGACACGTTCCTGTGCGCCGGCCAGGCCAGCAGGGACTCGTGCAGCGTGAGTTTCTGCCCCCCTCCCCCTGCCCGGGGGAATGCCCCGTGGCCCGTCTATCTGTTTCACCCTCTGTCACGCCGTGCTCATACTCAATGTTTTGTCCTTGCTGCTCAACAGGGTGACAGTGGCGGTCCTCTGATGGTCAACGACGGTCGCTGGACACAGGTCGGCATCGTGAGCTGGGGCATCGGCTGCGGCAAGGGCCAGTACCCCGGCGTTTACACGAGGGTCACTAGCTTCATGCCCTGGATTCAGAAGAACCTCAAGTAGTTGTCTAACTGTGATGTCGTGCAAAGGCGTCACTCTTGTGATATTCGAATTATTTTGTCCCACCCCAGGGGATTTGTCACAAAGGACGTAGGTCTTCTCTTACCGTTTAGGGACCGTTTCTCTAAACCCTGAGACACGCGTGCTCTGGTGCTACTTTTGTCTTGGGGAGGGGCGTATTCAATTCGACGAAGGTGCATCGGCTGAGTTAATAGCCCGGTGAAAGTGCCATTAAATGACGGAGTTATACACTGTAAAGTTGTTCTTGCCAATGATTCAAGAATAATCATGGTTTCTTCACAAGAAGACTTATTTTGTCTTTGCTAAGCAGAATTTAGTGATAGCAGTCAAAAGCTTGACTCAAGTTTCTGTTAATGATGTGAGTGACAAATGGAAATTAGATTGTATTTTTTAAACTTTTAAGCACACACATTTCATTGGAGCTGAGACCTTTTTCTTTAGTTTTGATATTTGTTATGTGATTGGATGTAATGCAGTAAGCTACCACTATAGCTAGCTGATATTTTCTGTATAAAATGACTGAACAAAAAGGGATATAAATGCATCCTTTGCAATACACCCTTTTGCATGCAAGAAACAATAATAGTTTTAAAAGGTGAAAAGAAACAGTCCTGTGTAGCAGTTCTGCTTCCTAAGTGTAAGATTCACTGTATATTCCTTTGAGTATGCAAGATTAGGATACCTTTACCAAAATGTGATATGCAGTAACAAGTTTCAGATTATTTGTTTGGAGTTAAGGATTTATATTTACTAAGAGCCTCTGCGTGAAAATGTAGCTGATAAATTTCACAGAGCACTTTAATTTATTGGGAAGACTTTGAGGACATTGCCATCCTATTTTACATGTGTTGTGAGAGTACAAAGTGTTAGCAGTCTACAGTGTTTACGTTTTAAATGACTTAATCTTTGCTGGAAGCCTACAATGCTTTTAATTATAATTGAATCATGTTAGACTCTTATAAGGAATGTCACAGCCTATTTCCACCAAATTCAATCACAGAGTGTTCGATATGAGAACAGGGAACTTTAGATGCTGTTTGATGGAGATAAATAAAATATAGGTATTGGAGTACACGATACATGATCATTCTCAAAGATGAAAACACAGACAATAAAACAGATGTGGAACATTGTGGGTAAGTGAGCAATTCTGAAAATGGGTTGCTATATGACTGCTATTGCTGTCTATGCTTATTTATTGTAAAAATATAAACAAATAAAAGTATGATGATTGACAAATATTGATCATTGAACACCACTTACAAAAAATATAGTTTGTTGACCAAGGATACTTTACTAATAACATGAGAACATCAACCATCTAAAACAAGTAACAAGACAGAATACTTAATGATGTCTTGCAATTTAGCAGAAGACTTGATGGGATTCTAATTCCAAAAGAACAAACAGAAAGAAATATCTAAATTTTCAAATCTTTTATCTCATTACTGTCACTTTGAGTTAATTCTTGCAAGTAAAACACAGGAAAAAACCCAGTCTCTTTGGTTTTCTCTGTTGAGATTATTTGAAAATTATTTAGTTTCATGCTGATTTAGTGTTTACGTACCAGCTATCACGTAAAAAATACTGCTGATGCAGATTTAAAAAATACTACGTTCGTAACTACTGAATAAATAAGATACCCCACAATGTTGTCATGACAATAATTTAACATAAAAAATAGAACAGAAGTTCCCTTTGAACAATGAAAATTATTTTGTTCAAATTAATTACAAACCAAACACACATTTCAAGAACAATCAAGGTTAAAATTTAAAACAAGCGGATGTATAAAAGTGTCACTTTGAAAACTTGGTTAAAGAAGTTTAAATAAATATTGAAGTACATGGTTCAGAGTGCCTTGCTGGGCCAAAATTTAGTTTGAATCCAGCCCATTACTAATAGATAATTACAGCAATGGCAACTAAAATGAGAATGATTACGGATGAAATCAACTGTCAACAACACTTTGTTAAAGAATAGGTTTCTGTTTTGTTGTGGGTACCTATCACTTAGGTAACTTAATAGAAATTGATAAGAAAACATGAACTCAATTAAGTAGCAGGCCTTGACGTTTCACGCAATTTCATAGATAAAACATCATGACTAACTTGATACAAGAAGTTGATAACAAATTCTTTTACAATTATTATCATTCAAAATTGGAAACGTTAAGGTGTTGAAGAATATTCCTTGCTATAATAAGAAACAAAACATTAATAAACAGATCACAAATCAAAACAAACCCAAAATTAAACTTAGGCAAATTTACCTTGAAAATAACATGTATCTGTGCTGCTATCTGGTTGGGGAATAAAGGGGGCTTCGGTGTTCAGTAAATTTTCCCAGTTAATTTCCCTGAAGAGAGACATTTTACGAACATCAGCACCATTAGGCCTTTTGAAGGGGTCGAGTGTCAGAATGGCTTCAATTGCAGATACTGCTTCAGGTGATAATAGTTCATCTCCCTCAGGCCACGGAATATCTGGAGAAGGGCAAGTGCAGATTATGTCTATATCCAACTTTTAAGCCAAATATTGTTTACAAACTTGTAAAAATAATGTTGAAAAACAAAGAAACAGGGATTCATAAGATACCTCTATTTAAAATGTTTTGAAAGACTGCTTGAGGTGTTTCATCATTAAAGGGTGGAATTCCAGTCATGAATTCATAAAGGCACACTCCTAAAGCCCACCAATCTACACCAGAACCTAAAAGAGAAAATTCATTTACAAGCATTAAAATTACTGTTGATAAGTAAGTAAATCAAAAATGTTAGTCTTACCATGACTTTTTCGCAAAAGAAGTTCAGGAGCAAGGTAATCAGGAGTGCCAAGAATGCGCTGATCACTTGCAGATTTTCCTCGTCGAACGGACTTTGGAGTGCGAAATGGCGTTTGCTGAGATGAGAAGGGTGTGGTAAAAGGAGTTGTTGCAATTGGGCTGAGGATAGGTTCCTCCTAGGGGGAAATCAAGAAAAAACAAGCCTATGAGAAACAAACCATCTTGTCATACTGACCTACTTTTTAGTTCACAAACTACATGAGTGTACCTCACAACAGAGATTTACAGTACCATAATAATGTGTCCATTGGAATGAGAATCAGCTGCAAATGTTGTCTTCTTTTCTGGAAGAGGTGGTAGTTCAAAACGGGTGACCTTTGATGGTTTTGAGGAATCAGAATTACAGAGTGGTTTGCGCATGGCCACAGGGGTTGAAAACATTACACCAGCCCCAGTTTTATCAGCAATGCCAGCCCACCTGAGATCCTCATCTGACAAAGACCTACAAAATTATTTTGAAAAGGCTGTTATAATCACAAAACTTATCATCATTTATCGCAGGAAGTTAAGTTTGTAATAAATTATATGCACCTGACTTTAAGAACTCCTTTAAGAGGACTAACAGTATTCTTTTTTGTGGCAGTTGGAATATCAATTTTGTGAATTTCTTCCCTTGGAGAAGTTAATTCACTGTCCTTAGTTGGTGAACTGTGATTCTTCGATTGATGTAAGTCAGACAATATCTGGAGGGATGTTATTTCTTGGGTTAAACCTGTGTGAGCTGGATCTGAGAGAGAGTATAATCGACCATCATCGCCTGAAACGCCAGGTAATCGTTTCTTTTTTCTTCTACTAAGGAGGCAGCATGCTCTCTGCAGCAAGACCTGGGGTGATCTTGTTTTAGGAGATGTGACATGAGATGAGCGAGACAAATGACTTGCCTCCGCAGACGAATCTCTGGCTGGAAATGAAAGAGATAATAAAGCATGATAGAAGCATCATCCTTTCAACTAACACCGTATTTTCATAGTAATGAACAGGCATAAAAATAAAATTGATGGTAAGCTATTATTAGACTCACAATGGCATATTCCACATCTTGAGTTTAAACCACTGCTGTGGTTGTTACTTGATGAATCAACGCTGCTGTAGCATGTATGATACGACAAACTGGAGGAAATCTCTTCCTCAGAATCAGTTTCATCTCTAACACGTTTGCGTGCTCCACTTCCATTGCAACTATTTCCAAGGAAGCTACCATTCCCACTCAGATCAGCAACATCATTGTCGTCACTTTCATTCAGTGTTCCTAGAATGCCTCTCTTGGATGACACAGATTTCAAATGAAAACTATGGTCAGCTGAGTGAAAAGCAGCAACTCCTGATATATGACTGTCGTTTTCAGTTTTGTTCACAACTGTAGCACCTGGTTACAATGCAGAGAATAAAAAAGATGCAATCCATTGTAAAAATAAATTCTTAGAATGTCTTCTACATAGCTCATACAGCAGTAAAAAAAGAGATATTACTAGACAAATCCGCACCTGTATGATCCATTGTGGGTGATCCAGTAATATTTGATTCCAGAGGTAATAGCTTGTGAGGTTTTGCTTCACAAAGGGAGTCCTGACCTTCATATTCAAATCCAAGTGTTACTTTAACACCAGATCTGCCATCTGCAAGTAGCTGACATTATAAGCTCACCCAATTACTTTTAGATATAGAGCGACTTCAATCTTAAATATGTATTGTTACTCTCTTAAGTATCCTGAACTTACGATAAGCCGTTGTTGTGGTAGTGTCAACCTCTTCTATCTCGCCGTTTGGACTGAATACTTCTGATGGTTCATTAGAGACAACTGAAGCTCTGCTAGAATTTCCACTAAATATAGAACCATTTTCAGAGCCCTGCCACAGAAAAAGGAATCTCAAGATTATGATGTTAACATACATGCTTAATTATCTTGAGGGTTCTTCTCACTTACAAAACAAAGGTGAGATGTTAATGAGAGTATTTGACCAGGGGTGCGTAATAAAGCATTAGGGGTTCCTTTGGTCAAATCAGATGCTTCCAAATCTGTTAAAAAAGATTTAGTATACAACAATAAAATTTAAATCTGTGAATTCCTTCAAACAATAAAACTTACCTCTATTTACATCTATACGGCTGAGCCCAAAATCAGTCAGCTTCACATGCCCTCGGCTTGACAAAAGTAAATTGTCTGGTTTTAAATCACGGTGAATGATTCCATGACTAGAAACCACAGAACAAAACTATTATTTTCAAAGAAACACTTGAAGCTTTACAGAGATCTAAGAGAGTAAATATTTAAACTTATTGTACCTGTGAAGGTATTGTAAGGCTAGAACAACTTCCGATATGTAAAATACTGCCATGGCTTCCTCAAAGTAGCCGTACATACTGAGAAGAGATTTTAAATCTCCACCAACCATGTACTCCATTACCTGTTAAGAAACATGACATGCATTGAAACTAAAGAAAAAATAGTGACGAGACTGATTATAAACATTACACAATACTTACTAAATAAATATTAGATGTTGTTTGGAGTGAATAGAAGAGTTGAACACAAAAGGGACTTTTGGTCAATGCTAATGCATTTCTCTCAGTTACAACTGGATAAAGAAGCAGAAGAATATAGTATTTAAGAGAATGTTTCAAAAAGAATAATATCAGTAAGAGATTGCTAAAAACACAATATACCTTGACTAGCCATATTTTTGTGAACCATTTCAGACTTCTTCATAGCTTTTATAGCATACAGTTGATCGGGATTGGTTTTTTTGCAGCCCAGGTACACTTTCCTGAAAGGGTGAACATGAGATTAGTTATACATGTAACTAGTTTAATACATTTTTTAATTAAGCATTCAGGTAAACTGTTATTTAATTTTTATGCGAGATTAGAAATACTACAGAAATACTACAATGATCCAGGCGATACTTTGGCCTTCAGCTAAGTGTCACATGACAGCCGATGCTGGCTATCTTGCGCTCTGGTCGGCTTCAGGAGCAGATTGGCTTCATTGCCTGAAGACCAAAGTATCTTTCGGACAACTATTATAGTTCTTTAGGTGGCTGCTTGTTAACAGAAGAATGAGGAGATTGTTGGTAAAGTAAAACTTCTGTTGCCCTGCTAAGAATTTAACGGAAAAATTACTGCACTGATTTAGAGCAAGTGAAAGTTGACCGATCGTAGTCATGTAGACTCTCGATAAAGCTGACTATAGTTTACCGGGAGACTTAATTGATAAGATATCAGTAAATTCTAATCATTTAAGTATTTATATGTAAAACCTAGTACCCAAAAGCTCCTCTGCTGATTGGTTTGATGACAGTAAAATCGGTGATATCAGGAGGCTGAAATATAGAGTAGATTGAACAAATTTAGACTGGAATTAAGTTAAACAATTTAAAAAAGGACATATCTTGTCAACCCTTTGAGGTATCTATAGGTGCTAGGTAGTCGGCTTGTTACCTTGGAACTTTCCGCATGTTGCGAAACCAATGTATTTAATAGCAAAACGTCTCGGGCGACATCAACAAATTTTGGCTCCCTGTTCTCTTTGGAAATTTCCATCTTACAGGAGGCTACTTAGATACATTTGCTTCAAAATATAGTACAAAATACGATACCGAACACACATTTATTTTGAATTTGTTTTGGTTTGAAGATGGGTCGAAACAGAACGATAGGATTGTCCTTATATCGATCTTTCGATAACGTTATTCGCACACAAGGTTTGTTTGCACGTCGGAATATTTGCACCACAATAGTTGTCTGCTAGACGGGATGAAAACAAAAAATGGTTGCTCCGTGGCACCGAGATTAGGCTCGAGTATCTGTACACTTTGTGATATATGTGGAAATGGATTGATTACTGTGATGAGACACTTAATAGAAAGCAGACAACAAGTAGTTTGGTTTACTGAAAGCCTGTAAGAATGGATTGAATCTGTAGCATTACGAGTTTTGTTTCGCTTCTCGTTTAACAGCCGTAGGTGTTGACAATGTATTGGAAACTAAATACCGTCATGAAAGTAAAACTTTTCCTCGTGCTTTTGGTTGTTCTTATTTTCTGGTCTTCTTTTCGCGTCTATTATTCGAATAAACCTGCTCCTCTGACAAGAATAGAGGTGTGTATGTTTAGTCGCTGACAGTTCATATAACTAACCATTGTGTGGTTCAACCAATTAAGTGATCGTAGAGCCATAGATGTTCTCTTGCCCTTAAGTATGTGTTTCTATTTATTTCCAGATAGCTGATGATGGCTCCTCAACAGTGGTCACATTGCTTCCAGTTCTTGTTGAAGTTTACTATGAAGCTCTCTGTCCTGACTCCAGAAGCTTTCTCCTAACCGAATTATTGCCTACATATGAAAAAATTCCAAAAGCAATGAATGTGCAGTTAATTCCTTATGGCAAAGCTAAGGTATTCTGCTTTACAGTTCACTTATGTAAATTTTGTCCCTCTTTTTTTTTTAGTCTGCTTACTGATGCTTTACGTTTTAGACTAGTACTTCGGGTAACTCTTTCAAATTTGAATGTCAACATGGTCCGCAAGAATGTTTAGCCAATAAAGTCCATGCATGTGGATTGAACTTGATTCAAAATGTGGATACCCAAGTGCAATATGCTACATGCATGATAAACGATAACTGGAATGCAGAAGAAGCTGGTTCAAGTGTATGTACCCCAAGTAACTCGATTAAATTACACTTTATATTTAATCTAATCTTTTCAATCTTTCCAAATTTTTGCAGTGCGCCAAAAAATATGGGCTGGATTGGGATTCCATCTGGAAATGTGCTAAGGGAAACCAAGGCAGCAAACTCCTGTCTTTGTATGGTAAAAAGACTGACAAGCTTGGTGGTATTGATTTTGTTCCAACTATTGCTTTGCAAGGGGTAGGTTTCAACATGTTAAATTATTTCCAAAAATTTAAATTACATTGTAGATTTTGTTCTCTAGCTTTGAATTTTTTTGGTTTCCTTTACAGAGCACTGATAAGCAGCCAGCAATTTTGAAAAATTTATTTAAAGAGATCTGTGCATTGTACAAGGTGCGTATGAATCATCTTTCTTTTATGATCACCACAGTTTACCGTACACCAATAAATTACAATTCTTTATCTCTTTTTAGGATGAGAAGCCAGAAAGTTGTTCAAAATTATCTGGTAGTAGCTAACCATATTTACCAAATTTTGGAGTTACATTCATATTGGATTCACTTATGGTTACCATGTTAAATGAGTGCTGGGGAGTACACAGGGTTGGTTTCATTTTGAGGGAGGTCATGCCTCACTTTTTGCCTAGTTACAGGCGAAGTGGGCTGCAAATTGCCTTACCATCAGGTGGTTGGCTTCTTAAATGGCCAAATAATATACCCCTGTGAAGTTTTGTTTTGGGAGAAGAGGGTGGGTCATAACCTCCCACCCCTGGATACGTCCCTGAATGAGTTCTAAAAATGACTGATTACTTAGTCTTTACAAGACTAAGATTCTTATGGGATGACTATGCTTGATATTTAAGCTTTCTGTTCAGAATACTTCCATTCTTTCTTATAGTGTTTTGAATTAAGTATGTTTGTAATCTGTGATTTTGTCCTCTTAAATCAGTTATCCAGTAGAGGGAGTAGTACCCCTTTATGGGTATGCAAGGCACTGTCTTTTATTTTAGTACTAGCTGGTTCATACTTAAATTTACCTAACACGGTATTGTCAGTTGTTTTTTTTAAAGTTGAATGATTGTGTGTGTTTATCTATCGAGAACAATTGAGCTGGCAGTTTGGAATAGAGCATTAAAAGCAATTTGAATACTTAAAAAAACCAGGGTCCATAACCAAATGTAAGTTTTTATATTAAGTTACCTTAATTTCTTTTATAGGAAGCTATTCTGCTACTGTCTGGTTTCACTGATCATTTGAAAGCAGAATTCTGTTTTCTTTTCTTTGGCCTTAGTTTTCAGTGAACTTAGGGTATCCAAACTTGTACGGTAGCCAATAATTTTTGGTTGTGATGTTTCACCTTGAAAGACTGATCTCTGCTTCTTGCCAAAAAAAAGTATTAGGAGACCAGTTAGACCTGAAATCATGCCTAAAATATATGACTATTGGTATAGGCATAGCAGGGAGAATATTTGTCCATGTGTGCAGTTATTAATTAATGGCCCCTCATTTGTATCTATTTTAACACTTCCTAGACTCACTATGGAATGGGCTAGTACCGCAACTGCTTGTCCTGTGTATGTGCAGTGCAGCTACTGTTGGTTGGTCGGAACTGTCAAGCAGTTTAAAGTTGCCCATTTCACAGTAACAAACTAATTACAAGTTTGAAGTGTTTGTTTCTGAAGTTGTTTTTTTTTTTTTTTAGCTGTTTTTAAACTAGACATCACAACAATCCCTTTAGTGTACCTTCATAATAAACCTCAAGGGCATTTTTATTTGAAATTGAAAGCTGGATTTCAACCAAAACATTTTTGAATCATTATTTTATAATTTGGTTGTGACGTGTTAAGCTGCAGCTTTTATGTAAGAGAATGGGCTTGCTGAGGTTCAAATTACACCAATTTGTTTTTTATGTGGATTAGAAAAGCATTGTTTAGTGTAAATTAATGAGTCAGTACTGTCAATGGAATTCTGTGATAATTAATTTTTTATACCAAGATATGAGTAGACGATCCACTAGATGTCTTATAAATATGAATAAATAAAATTGCTAATATTTCTGCTTATGGTTGTCGCTTTTATTTGACATATTTTACAGGCCAAACGAAATATAGTTCACTAGGTAACATTCTGAACTTTGATGTTTTAAAAATATGGTGCAAGTGTAGGAGTTACTTTTGTTATTACGAACAACAATTTGGGATCCCCTGTGCCTAGTCACACTCAAGAAGGATCTGTTTAAGGACCAAAATCTAGACAGGCACAGAGGAAATTGGACTTCAATTGACATGTAACTTAGGAACATTAGGAATTGTTGCAAGTGAACATCATCTAAGCAGTCACTGTCAGCTTTTGAATGCTGAACAAAATTTCTAACTCCAAGATGGTGAAACTGCAGTCTTTCCAAAACAGAAAACTTTTGCAAACAGCAAGAAGCTTTGTTAAAATTTGAAAGAAAAGAAAAATTTGTGTGTTCATGGACTGAACAAGCTATTCAAAAAGAAAAAAAAAAAAAAAATATATTATGGGTTAAAAAAGGAAAGACAACAACCTGAGATAAAGAATTAAGCAGAGCAATATATCATTAAATCGCTATGCAAGGATCACCAAACTGAAATATATGGCAAGGAAAAACTTATTATGCTACTGAACGAAATCAAGTATGCACTAGTATGGATCTGGTACAGATATATAATTATATTTAAATTAAATGACGATTACAGTTTAGGATGAATCGTAATTATGCCTGTGGAGGTTCCTAAGAGCCTCATCCCCACCCTCTGCCAGTACATCTACCAATTGAATACTCAAGAAATTGAGCATTGGTAAATTTCCAGGTCGCTCCTTGCACAAATCTGTCCAATGTTGCAGTACTTGAAAACACAGCTGCAATTAAAGGGCAAAAAATAGTTGAGAAGGTATATTAAAATAATGAAAAATAATTAAAGCATTACTACCTCACTGAGTTCATGTCCATATGTTATTTGTAGTTGATTAAATATCTGCTTTTTAATTTCAAGCTTTTTTGCAAGAATTTTTATTCCATCCAATGTTAAACACTCAGAAACAATTATTAAGTCCTTCTGCGTTACTGATTTTGAGGAGTCTCTCAATTCTAAAGAAAAAAAGTACATCATTTGTTTCCTTGACCATTTATAAAATACTTTAATGATGATAACAATCTGTCACATACCTTTCAGCTTTTTTCTGTCATCGTCAGAAAGAGTTAGATCATTGTTTTCCTTCTTCTTATCCTGTCTCTCATGACAGGGATTTGGGGATGGAAAAATATTTTTGACATTCCCAATCACAATGTTTTGAGCGTTTTGAACTGTGAAATTTTAAAGTTTGACCAAGTATCATGTCAAGTTGGTTGGTGTAATAAATTCATAAGTACAGTATCAAAGATAAATAACAAAAATAATAATGAGCAAAACAACTTACTATTTATATAGTTGTTAACTCTTCCCTTGGAATTTCCCCCTTTCGGCACTTTAGAGTAACCACGGGGGAAGTCTTTTGAGTTGGTTTTGCTATCATGTGTGGGTGATTTCTCAGCTGATTGAGATGCACCACTATTGATTTTGTCTGGGTTGCTCCCATGATAAGGGTGTGCCGATGGTAAAGTTGTATCAGGTGTATATTTAGGCCTATGCTCATTTTCAGGCTTCACAACAGTCTCATGTACTGACCGAGGGGGGGAAGGCACAGAATCTGTTACCACATCTTCCATTTTGACCCACGTCCTCACAATAATAAGACACAATTCTGGAGGTGGACACAACGAGAAAACGTATGAGGGGAATACGTCTAACGCACAAAACCGCCCCACCACTTGTTGCTGAACCGCGTAATCTGGTGCGAACACAACGACGAGACACAAAGCAATACAAACAGTAAAAGTGTAGCCAGGCGTAGCCAACTACACTCCATCAGTTATTGCGGCAATGAAGACATACTATTGACGTTCTTACGTTATGACATGTGTTGACGAGGTAAATATATAACTTTTTATTACAATGAGATAGTGTATAGTTCCATTCAAACTTGGTTTTCAGTTAGTTTACTTATAAACTGTGTGAAACTGTTGGGAGCTTTTCTGCTTTTCTGCTTTTGCTTCTGCTTTCCTGTTGTGTTTCCGGTGGAAAAAATGGGCTAGTCAAGCTTACGCTACAATGTTTTCTCTCTAAGAATAAAGGGATCACAATTTAAATTAGTATAACTGAAAATCATTATCTTAATTATTAAAACTCTCCGCATTGGGACGCATTTTATCTGAATGCTACAGAAGAAATGAAGGTAACATAGCGTCGGCTTTTGTGTTGATGTTCGCGGAGCACTTCCGCCATCTCAGTCCTTGCAGTTCTTTTCCGGCGTGAAGGAGTCGAAGTAAACGGTAAGCGGAATTAATCCATCGCGTAACCTTAATAATCAAGTCCATCTCCGTATTTGGGTGGGTGTATAATTATTCCGGGCGTTCAGAGACTACTTAATTGTTAGTATTTTCACTCTGCTGTTAAAATTTCCGCACCGGTCTTATGACGTGTCTTCAACATGCTCAATGTTTAGGTTATGTTGTGCTTAACATGAATTCGATATTGTTGTTTCAGCTTCAAGATGGGTAAGGGAAATAATATGATCCCGAATGGGCACTTCCACAAGGACTGGCAGCGTTTCGTCAAATGCTGGTTCAACCAGCCAGCCCGCAAATTCCGCAGGCGACAGAATCGCATCAAGAAGGCGAAAGCTATCGCTCCCAAGCCCGCCAAGGGTCCCCTTCGCCCTATTGTGCGATGCCCTACCTTCAGGTACCACACCAAGGTTCGTGCCGGACGTGGATTCACCCTGGACGAAATTAAGGTAAGTCTCGTCGATCTATTTGTGTACGTTGAGGTTATGTTCCCCTAGGTTAACCGTGCTTCTTATGGGCTCGTAGTGACTATCATGCCTCCTTAATGGCGTCTTGCACCCTACGAAGTAAGCTTAGTCACTTCCAAGTGTTTCTCATGCTATCAGGCAGGATATGTTGCCTGTCACATTCGGCTTGTTATTCTCCTGTGTCCCAAAATTTAACTGGTTGTGTATTTGTAGGCTTGTTGGGATTAGCTGTTTTCTAAGATTGTTCAGTTTGTCTTGTCACCTGGTGTTAAGTCATTGCTTGTTTGTCTTTCAGGGTGCTGGTCTCAGTGCAAGATATGCACGCACTGTTGGTATTGCCGTTGATCACAGGCGTCATAACAAATCAGTCGAAGCACTGCAACAGAATGTTCAGCGCCTGAAGGAATACAAATCTAAGCTGATCCTGTTCCCCATCAGAGCCAGCAAGAAACTGAGGAAGGGTGAAGCCAGTGTAAGTTTAATATTGTTACCTACACTCAGGTCCTTGCATTTGGTGATCCTTACGCGGTGCCAGAAAATTGAATTTTAATGTATAAGTTCGTGCTGAAAGGTTTTGCCGTTAGTTGCTGTATCTTACTCGTATTTTCTGTTTCTTTAGGAGGAAGAACGTAAGGTTGCTTCTCAGCTGACCACCGAAGTTATGCCCATCAAGCAGACCCAGTCGAGGCCCAAGGCTCGCGCTGTCACTGAGGCTGAGAAGAAGTTCTCACCCTACATCGCCCTTAGGAAGGTAAGATTGCTCTCATTCTCAAGTGTGCTATTTCAATTCCACAAGCTTTGCATCATAGCTAATTTCTTAATGTCATTTCAGGCTCGTGCCGACGCCAGATTGGTCGGTATCCGTGCCAAGCGTATCAAGGATGCCGCTGAAAACCCTGATGACATCAGCAAGGTTAAGAAGTAAATGTACTGCTATATTAATAAATTACAAAGCTAATTTGTGTTTTGGTTTGTATTTTCCAAAGTGGTGGTCCCTTAATAAGAGTAGTAGTGAAGTTTTCAATATTTATTAAGCTTTTCCTGTTAACAGCAAATTACATTTAAGTACAACTTCACAGCCAGCCATTTTAATAGCACAAAGTACAAATAGTACTGGTAATACAAAAACACAATTGTTGGATCTAGGCAAGTCCACTTGGATGGTTCTTAGAAATATCTTTCATAATTCATGTTATGATTTTCAGACAGCAGTTTTTAACACTGTTGGACGGTAGCTCCTTCCCTGTTTTTCATCTTCAATTGCCATTGTGAAATTTGGTACATAGATATGAGGCTTTGCCACTGTGCGGTGTCCTGCTATATCTATTTCATATGTTGCAGTAGGATCAGTTATCCAGTCTGGTGTTATGATATAATCTGTTTCTGGATTTATTTTTTTATTCTTGGCAAGAAGGCCTGGTTTTCTTACAAAACCAAGGCCAATGAGTTTGTTGACCGTAAAGCCATACCTATAAAGGAATAGGTCTAGTTAGTCATGGAATCTTCAATAATACAAATATTATTCTTGGACTTGAACTCACCCAGCTGAAGTTAGTGTTCCTACAAATTCCCCATTACGATAGATTGGTTCTCCTCCCCAGGCCCATACATCCTTATCAGGGTCCACCTCATCAAGACTGAACATTACAAGCCTTTTAGTGACACCAACCTTCTTTTGCCGCTTTAGGGCATATTTACCAATGAAGTACTCTTGTTTCTGAAATAGAGACAAGTCAAAAACCAAGAACATAATGAAAGCAAAGAAATCAAACTTTTTTTTATCTACATACATCTAACTTGACTAGATAACCACTGCCAGTTTCAAATGGATTTGTTTCACTATTAAGATCTTCAGCCCAGAATGGTATGAACTTCTCTATCCTCATAAATCTTTGGGTAAGCATGCCTATGTTTCGAGCTCCATAGTCTCGTCCGACCTATAAAAGTATAAAATCAATATTTTTATTACTCATTGGTCAAGTGCAACATGAGAAGTGCCAACAAAACTTCAAATATTACCTTCATTAATCGATCATACACATGAAGTGCATATTCAGATGGTATGTAAAGACAATATCCAGGCTCACCAGTATGAGTGAATGCCATTACAAGAACATTTGATGCATACCCAACATTCAATTTCTGTGATAAGATAAAAAGTAACATATCATATTAAAAACAAACCATACATGCAAATATTTAATAAAATGGAAACAAATTAAAAAAAAAAAAAAAAACTCACTTTATAAGTAAATGAATGAAGATTAACAGGTGAATTTGAAAGTTCGGAAAGCAGATGTCGTGCTTTATGTCCTACCACATTTATTACAGTGTACATAGAAGTCAAATCTTTTAAGGTCACTGATCCATCAGGATCCAAATGACTCCTCATCCACTCAAACACCCGTGTTTGTTGGGATGTGGGTGAGACCATGAAAAAGCTAATGGTACAAAATGAGCAGAAATTCACACTGATTATTATTTGATTTCTAATTTGAACTAAAAAGAAAATATCAGATACTTTCTCACCAGTGTTTATCTTGACGAACAAGAATGCAGTCATTTTCATATCCACCTCTTTCATTTTGCATGCCAGTATGAACAATTCCGCCCACAGGAATATTCACATCATTTGAGCAAAGTCTTTGAAGATATTCCAGAACACTTGGGCCATTTGACTAGGTAGGTTTAGATCAGAAAGCAACAATACAATATATCAAAACTAATTATCTAATGTACAAAACAAATCTTTAGAACAGAAGAGAAAACTCACCTTTATCAGAATCTTTGAGAATGAAGACATGTCTATAATGCCAACTCCTTCTTGACAAGCAAGATATTCTTCCTGCATGTAGTTGAAGAATTTTGGTTTATAAAATGTCCCTGGTGGCATTTGAGCTGGCTGATCCCAGTCTGTAAGCAATAAAAATACATAATTTAAAGTTGTGACCTTGGTTTTTAATCTTTTTAGAACATTTGACTGGTGCAAAGGCTTACGTTTTTTTGAAGTATCAAAATAAAGTGGTCTTTCGAAGGCCATGCGAGTGCCAAATACAGCCCCTTGCCTTTCTAATACACTATACAGAGGAGAACACCTAAGCTTACGGGCCAATTTATACTCATTTTGCATGGGATGCATTATTGCGTAATGGCTGCAGAAATGATGAAAAGGGGTTTAAAATTGTATTCTAGTCTGTTAAAAAAGATGTGTAAAAATAACACCGACCGCCCAACAACTTCTTTTGTGCGTTGCTGCAGATATTGTCTGTTATTGTGAAGATCAAGAAACCGTTGAACACTGAACAATAGTAAATCTTGAGTTGGCTCTCCTTCTATGATCCATTCAGCAACGGCTCGTCCAATCCCTCCACCACCTTCTAGGGGATTACCATTCATACCCACAGCCACTAAATAATTGCCAATCTGGAAATACACATGTTTAAGTTTTAACACATAAATAATAAAATCTTAGATTTGAAACATAAAAGAATATCTAGGACTAAAGAATTGAACCTCAGGAGCTTCGCCAATGACCCAACGTCCATCAGGAGTAAAGTTGTCGGGAGAACTAAGTAGATGAGGTGTTCCAGCCTTTGAAAGATCAGGTATCCTATGTACTGCTTTTTCCCAGAGGGGCTCTGGTAAAACAAAATAATTTTTAAGATATATGTTAAGCATGTAAGAGATACCTGGGAATTGGATTTGGTAGCAAATGAAGGAGGAATACTCATACTTACTGAAATGAGCCCAATCTGCTGTGTCCCTGTCTTTCCAATTATCAGGGATACCAGCACCATCTGTAAAAGCAGGCTTTGCTTCCAATTCAAAACCACCAACTAACAGACCACCATTGAATTCTCTTGTGTATATGCTAGAGTCAAAGTCTCTGACACAGGGTAGGTTGGGTTTCACTTCAAATTGGTCAGTGATTGCATAAAAGTGTTCAGCTGGGTATGCTGGGATAGCTACTCGAGGAGTACTTTTGAGTCCTAGATCACGTGCCCACTGAAAGAGGACAAAAATAAATTACTTATCTTTAAGAAATAATGAATCATGATGTTGTACTTTGTCTTGAGAAGCCAGTTAAGTTTGAAGCCATCCTGTCATTTGCACTAAGACAAATTATTTAGACTTCAGCATTTAGGCTTTAAAAGTCACAATTAGCAGTGGAAAAAAAAATGGACATGCACTTGAAACAAACGACTAGGAGTTTTTATGTCATAAGACTAAATCCATCATGAAAATTTAGACATTAAAAAAAAATATTATGCAAAACTCACCATGCCAGCACTGTTTACAAAATATTCACATTTTACTGTGCCTAAACTTGTCTTTATGCCATAAACTTTTCTGTTATTTATAAGAATATTCTCTAGTTCACAGTGCTCAACATATTTGGCTCCTGGTTTTAAGCAATCAGATCTTTTTAATTAGATAATTAAAATGAAACAAAAGTAAAATCATAGGAGGTAAGAAGTCAGGAGCATTACCACCAGCCTGAGCAAGTGCAGCAAGTGCGTGACAAATTGCTTGAGGTTGAGCTACAGCATCCTCTGGAACCCAAATACCACCCTCCAAGTCATCAGAGTTTAGGAGAGGGTGAAGCTTCAATAGGTCAGTTCGACTGACAACCTGTAATGAATTAAATCAAGAGACATGAATAAAACAAAAATACAGAAGTATTCCTTGAATAGGAACCTTAAGTACAGCACCTCACAGTGGAGTCCTGAGGGAATATTATAAGCCATACGTCTTCGCAGGGCTATCATTCGCTCATGGCTCTGAGCTAAATTTACACTTCCACATTCACGGAGACCTATAACAAATGATTTCAACTATAAAAAAATTATTTTTAAATTTACAAAATATTCAAGTTAATATTTACCAATGTCATAGCCCTGCTCTTGAAGTTGACGATATAACTTAATACTGTTCATTATAATTTCTCGTGTGGGAGTGGGTTTGAATAATCCCAATGTTCCTGAACTGAAGTGGGATGTACCACTTCCAATTCTACATCCAAAATTAATATGGGTGAGCAATAAAATGAAGAGGAAAATGTAGGAAATAAGATACAAGCCTTACTTCTCTTTGTCAATGACCAACACATCAGTGAGACCATTTTGTACAAGATGATAAGCTACTGAATTGCCGACAATACCAGCTCCGCATACAATCACTTGAGCTTCCGTTGGTAATTGCAGTGATGTTCCAATAGTTCTTGCAGGGCTCACAAAAGATGAGGCAGGATATAATGAGTGCAGCTTCCCTAATGACCGAGCCATGTTAAATTGTCACTTCCTTGGGACAATTGTAGTTGATGTCAACAAACGTGAAAAATTCTGAAACACATAAAAATACAACAGTGTAGAATTATTTTTTTAAAATATACAAAGTGGTTATAAAACTAATTTTTCGGTTTCAGCGTTTAAACGACGAAGATAGGTTGAGTACTTAGATGAACAGGAAATATTAATCAGTAAGTGACAAATATTATAAAATTAGAAGTTCTATTATTGTCATAACCTAAACATTTCAGTTTTGACAGTAAACAGATTACTCTTGTTTTCTTGTAAAGTGAAAAATAAATAATGAGCCATGTGAAACTTAAAAAGTCACACTTATTTTTCTTTCTTCTCTGAATTTTTTCTTTTACCTTTTTCAGCAGTTCATCCCATTGTCCATAAATGGTTTTTTTTTCGCCTAGCAGAAGACTTTGTTTCTGCTGGACCTGTTCTGCGATTAGAGATCCCGGCCCGGGAGCTGTAAATAATGTCGTATATCTGCCAAGGATAAAACGATAAAAAGAAACACAAATAAGAGTTGATTATTATAGAAGAATATCACGTATCTAATCCACTTCACACCTAACTCTGATCTTTCGACAGCAAGAAGCATGTCTGTTTTAAATGAAAAATATTTTTCTACAGCTGGTACGCTTGTAGAGTAGCGGCGGCAGCGGGTGGCGGGATTTTGGGAAGCACTGGGCGCGTAGAACATGTTCTGCGATAGCGTTTTTTGGATCACGGTGGTAAAACTTACATACAGATAGGACACTATACCGATAATATCTGTCCAGATATACGCAAACTTCTTCCAATGCGTAAATTATGATAATATATCACGCTAAATTGTGAAATTACTGAAACTCGGTAGCGCATAGGATTGTCATGGCAACCAAACACCTCAGTAAACATCAGTTCCTGTGTCACTCGTATTGTTTGTCAATAAATAATATGGTCATTTCAAAGATAACATTTTGTTCGATTGCCTTCGACGTAAATTTTAGTGGAATAAAATCGTTTTGTATTAGCTCAATGGTGTACTAATCGCTTTCCGAGTTCATGCAACGGAGAGGGTGTCGCAAAGTGATTCACGTGACAGGGATGTATTATAGGCGACATAAATTGAAAATTATTTGAAAATGGGGAGCAGCTCTCATGTTGATGACAGCATCACTCGGAAATATGACATCAAGCGGAGGATTGGCAAAGGGGTAAGCTGATTTACGAATAATTGTATTTAACCATACTTCTTGGCGTCACATTCATTTGACATCATTACTTTCCTCAGGCTTACGGCATTGTATGGAAAGCTGTGGACCGGTCTACGAATCGACTTGTGGCAGTCAAGAAAATTTTCGATGCATTTTGCAATTCCACGGACGCTCAGAGGACGTTCCGCGAGATCATGTTTCTACAAGAGTTCAGAAACCACTCCAACATTGTCAAGCTACTTAACATTCACCGTGCGAGTAATGACAAGGACATTTACCTCATATTTGAATTCATGGGTAAGTACGGCTTAGTTTTTTTCATGTTTGTCGTATTGCCGTCGAACAAAATGTCACTTATTTGTAAAATGCTTATTGGTATCTGTGATCCTGTGAGCAGAAACAGACCTCCACAAGGTCATCAAACGAAAGCTGCTTCAGGATCTCCACAAGAGGTTCATCATGTACCAACTGTTGAGGGCAACTTTTTACATTCACTCCGGTAATGTGATACACCGCGATCAAAAGGTAAGGAGCGGGGAAACAGCGACGCGTGGGCAAATGACGGTGTGGGAGCACGTTTTGTGAGAGGTATGAGGTCCTGACCGATCTTCTCCTTCTAGCCCTCCAACATTTTGCTGGACAGCTATTGCCGTTGCAAAGTGGCAGACTTCGGGCTGGCACGGTCACTCGCTACAGACGGTGCGGGCGCCGAGGGGTTGACCGGGGACCCCGCGCTGACGGACTACGTCGCGACGCGCTGGTACCGTGCGCCGGAGATCCTCGTCGCCTCCAAGCAGTAAGTCGCGCAGGACGTATCCCAGGGTGGAGGTAACACGCTTTGCGGGTGCGTCGGCCTACAACCTTCTGTTCACCTGCAGGTACACGAAGGGCATAGACATGTGGAGCTTGGGCTGCATCCTCGCCGAGATGCTGCTCGGGAAGCCGCTGTTCCCCGGATCGTCCACCATCAACCAAGTGGAGAAGATCATGGCGACGATCGACCCGCCCACACCGGCCGACCTGGCGTGCGTGTGCCCGGGCTACGGCAGCTCCTTGTTCACGGTAAGGGGAACACTGGGAACACGCCGGCCAGATTGCGGCCAAGTGTCCGCGGGTGCCTCTACAAATGAATGTTTCCCCCCGAGTCGACGCGAGTTTACCCCGGCCCATTCAGGGCTCGCCCCCGCGTGCAGCAGTGTTCTTATTTGCCCGTTAAAAGTGCGGTTTAGGCTGGCCATGCCACCGATGGCGCCTGCCACGGGCTGGATAGGCCAGCCCGCCGAGCAGCCCTGTGGAGCCGGCGGCCCGCCCTGAGCAGAAAACTCGGGGACAATGTTCACTGTGGCTTTACACCGATCTCATGCATCAGAGCGGACGTCACGGCAAGTGTTGTGGGTTTGCTTTACTCCCTTTTCTCGACAGGCGCCATGGCCCCTGCAGCCTTAGAAGGGTATGCAATCCCGCAACACTACGACGTCTGTACTGATACACACATCGTAATCTGTATACCCGACACACCTACGCCAGCATTGCCCCTTCAGTCGACTTAAGTAAGCGCACCTTTGGCCCGCAGCGCGCGCCCGCCGGCCCGCGCCTGCCGCTGACGGAGCTGCTGCGCGGCTCGCCCGTCGAGGGGGTGGACCTCGTGTGCCGCCTGCTCGTGCTCAACCCGTTCAAGCGCCTGACGGCGGAGCAGGCGCTCGAGCACCCGTACGTGGCGCGCTTCCGGCGCCAGGGCCGCGAGCCCGCCCTGCAGCACCAGGTCGTGCCGCCGCTCAGCGACCACGTGCAGCTGTCCGTGGGGGAGTACCGCAGCAAGCTGTACGAGATGTACCAGGTCAGTGCCGCGGAGACTCTTGACGGCTTGGGTAAATCTTACTGTCGGTGTCAATGCGGGGGTGAACCGAGGGGGGGGGGGGTAATCCAATGGTAATTTGGGCTTAATCCAGGAGTAATCAGAAATAAATCCGTCGTACTTCGAGTCGTGTCCCCCTTAGGAGGGGTGAGCACCTGGGCACCCATCTATACTCATTTCCGTCTTCGTTGTTACCAGCCCAACTACACTTTCGGCCAGACCTGCCAGGCGCGCCAGGCGGGCGTCCAGACGGTCCAGGCCAGCCCGACCCCCAGCGCGAGCAGCGGCAGCAGCGAGGGGAAGCCCTCGTCGCGCCCGTCCACCAGGCCCTCGGCGCGGCCCTCGGCCAAGCCGCGCGGCCTCGTGTCCCAGGGCGGCGACGGCGACGGTGCCCAGCACCAGCACCAGCACCAGCACCACCACCACGCCAACAAGAGCAAGAAGCTCAGCGGTGGCAGCTTGCCCAAGAACTGCGCCGGCGGGGGCGGCAGCGGTAGCAGCGGCACGAGCGGCAGCCTGCCCCTCAGCACGCCGCCGCTGCGCAAACCGTGAGTCCCAATCCTCCTAGTCCATTCCCCACCGGTTCTCCGTTGCCACCAAACTTCAGAATGCCATTGAAAGGTGTGTACTTTCTGCGTGCAGAACGCGACCGCCGCGCGACACGGAGCAGGTGCTGGGCGCCAGCAAGCAGCGCCGACAGACGCAGACCCGGCACCTGTCCACGGAGGACATCCGGCCGGCGCGTTACGGCCGGTCCCTGCACCACCACGGCGGCCACCACCAGCACCAGGCCGGACAGCGGCCCGCGCCGGGCACGGCCCCGGCCACGTCCGCCGAACACCTGCTGCCCCGCCGCCTGTCCGTGTCCGACCCGGCCGTGACGTCGCAAGGTGCGGTCCCGGGCCGCGGCGCTCACGGCGGCGCTCGTCCCCCGGTACAGGCCGGCGCCCTCCACCGGCTCGCCGCGGTGCCCGCTGACCCCACTGTGTGCCCCGCAGCGCGGCCGCCCCTGCGCCACCAGGGCAACGCCGGCACCGCCCCCCGCCGGGGCAGCGGCGGCGGCACCGCCCCGCTGCTGGACCGCGTCGGCGACGTGGTCGTCATGGCCACCGGGACGGCCGGGGCCGCCGCCGCGCTCAGGGGCGTCCACAAGACGAGGGCCAAGCCCCCGCGCGCCAGCAGGGTCGGCGTCCACGTCAACGGCGGCTCCAACGCGCAGCTGGTAGGTCACGGCACGGCCCGGGGCGTCTAGCGCCCGCAGGAGTGAGGGTAGGCAAGCCCGCACGGCGCGCCTGTGCGCGTCCTGCCTACCCAGGCTGGCTGGAGCGCTCAGAGGGCGATCGGAGAGCTCCTCACCACTCGCGCCACCCTCTCTGCGGGTGGCTCTCCGATCGCCCTCCTGCTGGGAACGAGGGGGGCTGAAAGGGGACGAAGGAGATCTTTCTGCGTTTTTAACCTATCTGTCGGTTGTCTTTTAATGTCCCTGGTTGTGTTGTTTCCGCAGCTCACGTGTCAGATGGGCTATATAAGTCTGACTCGCGCATCAGCGTGCAACGAAGGTATAGACACAACAAAGTACTTTGCATCCGTAGCCTTTAGCGGATCAGATCTAGAGCAGCCGGACGGCTGCACGCATAGCGGCACTTAGCTGTTGCTAGAGTCCTAGGACTCTAAGCAGCTGATAGTCTAGCGGGTGGTATAGAGAGAGGTCGGGCCTGGGACGAAATGAGATCCAGCCGCACCCAGCTCTCCACCGGGCGAGGCTCCCGAATACCGACTCGTCTGGTCGACGCCACGGCCGCCTGCCGCACCTGAACCCACTCCCTCTGCCACAGGTGACGCTGAACGGCCCGGGGCCCCTCAAGGCTCCACGCGGCTCCGGGAGCCTGTCCAGCCTGCAGCCCCCCGGGCCGCCCAAGCCGCCGGCGCCGCCACCACCGGGGCCGCCGCACTGCAGCTCGACGCATAGCCTGGGGGGAAGGCCCAGCCAGGGACCCGGCAGGCCGCCGCTGCAGGTGCCCCTCGGCCTCGGCTCGTCCTACTTCAGCCTCAAGCAGCCGCGCCATGGACACGGCCCGCCCCCGGGGGGGCCGCCCTCGGGCCACGGCACCGGGCGCAGCAGCCTCCTCGGCGCGCAAACGGTGGGCAACATCGGCTTCATCACGGCCTCTGGCCTGTCCGAACTGCGCCCCGGGTACAGATGGCAGCGATAGAGAGGAGGAGTACCCCTCCGCTATCGTTTAGCATTCTTTCCCTTTCTTATTTCGTCTCTATTTTCACTTCTCTCAAACTCGTTCGTGCGCGTTGTAGTGGTTTTGAGTACATTATCGTGTTGTTTTCTATTTGTCACGCGTTTAACATTCATCATTAAAAAAAAAATGTGTATGTCCTTTCTCTTTGCGATGTAACGACGAACACGCTGCTGCAGTGATGCGTATTTCATATCTGCTGAAAGAAAGGTATTTTCAATCGAGGGAGGCAGTCGGTTAGATTCGGCTCTCCTTGATATTCTTATCATACCCAATGGCTGTCATTTACTATAGGTACGAATTATTGCAATGGTTTTGTATCTTTGTATAGTTATCCAATGTCATTTTTAAAAGAATTTTAATTTTTAAGGAATTGGTAATTGTAAGAAAACTTCGTTGAAAAAAAAATACAAATAAAACCAGATTTTTAGGTCACTTACCCTCTACCTACTTTTCTTTCCCATAGCTTCCTCCCCTTCGGCCCCCACAAAACCCTCATTCCCCTCCCCACCCTCCTCACCCTCCCCTCCCCTCCGTATGGAGCTGCCCTGCCTGCAGTTCTGCAGCAGACAGCTCAGCGGTATGACAACAGCAGTCATGGCCGCAGCCGACGATGACGATTATTTCGTCGACGAGGAAGATGCCATTAAATTTATCACATTTCCCGAAGAAGTAGAAAAAGCCATAGAACAGGTGCCTTGTTTTGAAATTATTTTTTTTTTATTGGACCATGCATGTCTAATTCGCATGTAAACAATGCAGTTCATAACCTCTGAGGGACGTCCAAAGAAGCTCATTAATACTTCGGAAGTCTTATAATAACTTTCTTAAGCAGTAACTGTTTTCAGAATTTATATTTATAAGCTATTTGATGTATTTATATTTTTGCGTTGTGTTTTAAATCGGGATACTCATTACCTGGTTTCCTCGCAACCTGTCACTTTGTGTTAAACCTGACTTTGTCTTTTCTAGGTCTTACCAAGTACAGATCCCTTAGATCAGCCAGATTTCAATGAGATAGATTACATAAATTCTATGTTTCCAACTGAGCAATCACTTTCTAATATTGATGAAGTAGTGAATAACATGCAAATGAAAATTCAGTCAATCGATGATGAAATACGCTCTGTTGTACGAGGTCAGAGTAATGTTGGCCAGGTGGGTGAAGTAAATCATTTGTTTTTATTTAAATTACCCATCCCTTTTCTTAATTTGTTTATTTTTGTAATTAGGATGGACGGACATCCTTGGAGGAAGCACAACGAGTCATTAGGCAACTATTTGTACACATAAAAGATATAAAATGGAAGGCTGAACAGTCTGAAGAGGTTGTCCGTGAAATTACTCGTGACATTAAACAGCTTGATACTGCAAAACGAAATCTCACAGCTGCCATCACAACTTTAAACCATTTACACATGTTAACTGGTGGTGTTGACTCATTGCAGTAAGCGGAAAATTTTCCTCTCTCTTGTTATTACTGATTTTTTTAATATTAGTAACTATCTGTATTATAATCATCTTCCAGGGCTCTCACTGAAAAGCGTCAGTATGGTGAAATAGTTATGCCCTTGCAAGGTATCATGAATGTCATGGAGCATTTTAACAACTATATGGACATTCCACAGATTAGGGACCTAGCTGACCAGGTAACAAGTTCTATTGTGGAAGTACTCATTTAAACTTGTCCTTTAAATTAAATTTAATCTAGAAATTTAATTTTAATATGTTAGATTAAACCATATTTTTCAATCTCGGGACCTATGTGCTACGGCAAGTAAATAAATAAATAAAATTAAAATGTCTCTGTGTAGGTGAAGCAAATTCAAGTGCAGTTGGCACAACAGATTACAAATGACTTCCATGATGCCTTCTCAGGCCCAAATGCAAAGCACTCTGCACCCAGTAGACAACTGGCGGATGCTTGCAGAATTGTTTCAATCCTGGATCCTAAAGTAAAGCAAGTGTCTTCATTTTCAGTATTTTGATTAATTTCTCCTACATTTCAGAAGTAAATTAAAATTCTCTTACTGTTGTAATATGACTTTCTTAGGCGAGAGCTGTTAAGATGGTTTATAAGCCTTCAATTGAATGAGTATCAACATTTGTTTCAAGAAAATCAAGATACAGCATGGCTTGATAAAATTGACAAGCGTTATGCCTGGTTGAAGCGCCATCTTTTAGAGTTAGAAGAGCGTCTCGGCAGTATGTTTCCTTCCAGCTGGGAGGTATCAGAGAGAATTACTGTTGAGTTCTGCAACATTACAAAGTAAGCAACATCAAAAATATCTGGTTGAGCCTATCACTAATAATTCTTTATATTATTGATTGCTGGAAACTGATCTCTCCCTTGATGTCTTTCAGAGCTGAATTAACAAAGTTAATGGCTAAACGAACATCTGAATTGGATGTAAAATTATTACTGTATGCCATTCAAAGAACTGCAAATTTTGAAAGCCTTTTAGCCAGACGTTTCACTGGCACCACACTTCAAGAAAACAGTGATACACCGCAGCAAGTCTCTAGTTTTCAGGTATGCATGGACCAGCATGTGCTGTTTTTTTTTGTTTTTTTTTTCTCGTGTGATAGTATAGGTAGTTCTGTGTTTATTTTCCTTAGGCTTCCTTAAATACAAATCCTTTTGAGGATGGTTCAGACTCAACAAATCCATTCGAAGCTGATTCTGGTGAGGAATCCAAGGAAGAACAGAAGCCTAAACCATCACCTTTTCAGGGGTTGATTGGGAGCTGTTTTGATGCTTATCTGTACATTTACATTGAGAGCTTGGATAGGTAAAAATGCTGTTTGTGAATTTCTTTCACATTTACTTTAAAAATCAGATGAAAAACAAACAACATTTCTTTAGTTCAAATAAGTTATTGCTTTTTCTACTTTCCAGAAACTTGGCAGACTTAATGGAACGCTTTATTCAGGACTTAAAAGCTTCTCAAACACTGCAACGTCCATCAGCATCTTCTAATCTTCCATCCTCTGGAGCTGATTCTGATACTACTGCGGGAGGTGCAGCTGTTCTTCCATCATGTGCTGACTTGTTTGTCTTTTACCGTAAATGTTTAGTCCAATGTACTCAGCTTAGTACTGGGCAACCTATGCTTGGTCTTGCTCGAACGTTCCAAAAATATCTGCGGGAATATGCTTTGCGAGTACTTCAAAATAGCTTGCCTAAGTGAGTGGTATTCCTTCTTTCATCATAGAACTTGTAGGTACCATACTTTTGCCTTTTTAACATAATTCAAATTTACAGGGTTGGAGGAACTGCAGCTTCATTAGGTAGCATTACCCGGGATCTTTCCACAGTCAGTATCATACAGAATCTTCAGACATTTCAAAGTCTTTTAAAAGAAGGGGATGTAACTAGATACTCCCCTGAGGAACAAGCAAGAGTTTGTTGGTAAGATTTAAAAGTCGTTTTCAAAGAGTTTAATATAACTTGATGAGCAATATTAATAATATTTTCCTTCTGTTATTATTAGCATCCTCACTACTGCCGAATATTGTTTGGAGACAACTCAGCAGCTTGAAGAAAAACTGAAGGAAAAAGTTGATCCAGCATTAGCTGACAAAATTAATCTAAGTCAAGAGCAAGACATATTCCACAAGTAAGTGAATTATTTGTGAATTTTGCAATTCTTACGATTCTTATTTATCAACATTAAATTAATTTTATTATTAATTTTATAGTGTCATATCCAATTGTATTCAACTCCTTGTACAAGATTTGGAGCTCTCTTGTGAACCAGCCCTAACAGCCATGAGCAAGGTAGGTTGGAAAACTGCTCAGCTTTATTTTTGACAGTCCAAAATTAAGTGCTAAAGATCAATCAATCTTATGCCTTCAATTGTGATTTAAAAAAATTAATGATTACACATGTTTGCAGATTCAGTGGAGTAATATTGAAACTGTTGGTGATCAAAGCAGTTATGTCACTGCCATTACTTCTCACCTCAAGCAGACAGTTCCAGTGGTGAGAAATGAACTGGTATCTTCTCGAAAATACTTCACTCAGTTTTGTGTTAAATTTGCCAAGTAAGAGAGTACAAGTTCTTGTTACAGCATTGCCTTTTGCCTAGACTGGAAGTTTTTATTTATTAAATATTGAAGAGTGTGAATGCTAATTGATATTTCCATCGCAGTTCTTTCATACCAAAGTTTATTCAACACCTGTACAAATGCCGTCCACTCAGCACAGTAGGAGCAGAGCAATTGCTTTTGGATTCTCACAGCCTCAAAACTGTCCTTCTTGATTTGCCATCTATTGGTTCTCAAGTTAACCGCAAGGCACCAGCAAGGTTAGATCATTCAAAATCCCAACAAGGTCAAGGTCTGTCAATTTTTAAGAAGAAATTGAAATGCTTAATATTTAATGCTATGTTAATTTTTTGCAGCTATACTAAAGTAGTAGTAAAAGGGATGACCAAAGCCGAAATGGTTCTTAAAGTTGTTATGTATCAAACAAACCAAACTAATCAACCAATGTCTCACACTGAAAATGTGCGAACATTTGTGGAACAGTTTCGAAAACTTCTTCCAGATTCAGAATTGCAAGATTTACAGAGGGTCCTAGAAATGAAAGTAAGTGTTCACATGCTGTACTGGAATGTTTTTTCCCCAACCCGATACATGAATTTTATTTCTATTTATTGTTTTGTATCTGTCTCTCTCAAGGGCATTCGTGGGAAGGATCAAAGTCATTATGTTGACATGTTCCGTAATTTATCTGCTGCATCTAGTCGAAATGTAAATGCTACCATTACATAATTGACTCAGGTTCCCAGATAATACAAATCGATGAATTAATGAATAAATTAAAAGAAAATTTTAAAAGGAAATAGATTAATTTGATACACAAGTTATATATTTAGAAAATATTTTGAACTAATTTTATTATGTTGAAGTACTGAAATCTCTTTGTGTTACAATTTTACTGAGTGATAATTTTCTTACTGATCACAATGCACTTTTTGCAGTATTAAACTACTGCAGTATTTAAACTGGAGAAACAAAGGTAAGATTTTGCACATTTCTGTGGGTGTTAAATTCCTTTGTAAAGGCATGTAAACGCTTCAAAGGTGAAAGTCTTCATTGACTTTGGGACTTAAAATGTTTCTTAAAAGGCATTTTAATATTAGTCATTAGTACCTTCAAAGAGTGCAAAGCCTCCCAGCCAAAAATGCTATGTATATGGTCCACTTTCTGACCACTTAGACGTCTAAATGGTCAAAAACTAGACCTTAAATATCTTTAAGGCTTTTTTAAGAGATGGTATTTCTGGATGGGCTCTTACATTTAGTTTACCAGTGTATCACTCAGTATTCTGTTTTAGTTAATTCTTTCTTAATGTTTTGCCTTTTTGTGTGGAAGGCTGTGATATAATGAACTGTCTGATATCTCTTATTCTGTATTAAATCAATTTTAAAAAAAATGGTGCTTTCCAGCTGTCATTGAGGCTTTTAAATAAATTGTGTATTTATGACACACTTGAAGGGAAGCTAGTGTAACATTCCATTGCCATGTGTTTCATGTTCGCTCTCATTGAAGCAGAGGCTCTTAATTATAAGTAAATGTCATGTTATGAATTGATAACAGAATGGATCGGGCAATTGTCCTCAACAATTCTGTAAGTGTTTTCAAGAAGATAAAATTATGGCTGTTGAGAGTTAATAATGTTATGCATTGTGATCTTTCTGTTTCTGTGAAAACGTTTGTCTTAAAGAACTGTAAGAATTTTTTGACATCAACTTTAATATGAAAAAGGTACTAAAGCTTACAAAATCTTATAGCGAAAGCAATGGAAGAAAGTAAACACAATACATAGCTTTCTTTGTTTCATTTATTACCCTATGTGCTTGAGGATTGTGTCAAGTCACAAAAATTCCTTAAAATGGTATTGTTCACAAAGTAATAGTTATTCACTCTTCACACAATTTAAATCCTGAAATTACATGTATAGAAATTCCAAATAGTGGGATTCTAAAATAAGCATATAATTTCCAAAAGAACACAATTTACCAAATAGTTATTTCACAGAGCAAGAAAAGAAAAGTTAAAACAGAACAAGGAGTTACAATATCAAAACCTCTAGTGTGGCCTACTTTTGCAAATGTGTGTCATTGATCAGACTTTCTAAAACACTTACTAATGTAACATTAGGAATAATAAAGTCTGCTCAGGACACATAATTATTCCAGGAAGCCGCACATTATGAGTTATTCACATGCATAGTAAAAAAGGACACGGCATGCAATAACCTGGCTTCCCAGACAGTCTTAATTTCTTCTGATGATGAAATCACCAGGAAGTCCTTTAAGTGACCACAGTACAGGTTTCTCAGCCCACAGACAGCCAGCACTTGTTCAGATGCCATACCTTAAACTTGAGAGAAGTCTTTTCTGGCACTCCATATCCATTGGCTGTAGCTTTTGACAGCATTCCTATTATTTACATTCTTTGTACAGTACATTGGTGTTATCCTTATAAAAAAGGTGTATGCTATCACTTTTACCGCAATTAAGTGTATGTCAGTCATCGTCTAGACCTCTAATGATTGCAACACCTCGAGCTGACATTTAAAATAGCAGCTGTTGACTGAAAGTTAAATTATATAACATGTATGTTGTAAGCTCAGATCAATGATGGACCATGGAGATTGTCAGCACAAAACAATTGCACCATTAAAAAAGGAAAAAAAGATGAGTTTCATTTTATTTATCATAAAAAAACCAGTTAAAACTTTAAGGAACACATGTTATAGAAAAGGAAACCAAAAGTTGTAGACAGCATTAACAATCATATTGCTTATCAACAACTTGCACATTCATAATTCTTATTGGAGAACACCAACCTCCAGAAATGCAATAATGTGAGTAACACTCACTGCAACAGTGCATTTGGTGTACAGATGACTAAATTTAAGCGTATAGTACCCAACTTCAAAATGTATATCAAATTTCTAAATCACCCGCAAAAATAATTTGGAATACATGTCAGATTAGGCACTTGGGATGCATATTATGTTCATCTTTGATTTCCAAATACCTATAAATCAAGACTTCAAAGATCACACAGGTACTGACTCCCTCATGGCTGTATCAGACAATTGCTGCTCCACCTCAATAACACAAGGTACAACCCAGAAGTGAAGAAACACATTTAAAGGGAAAAGAAAATTTAATTGATAATTGTAAACTAATTTTACTGAATAGGTTGAAATAATTGGACCAATCCAGAAAATAAATTCTAGAGGAGAGAAAGGATCTTTGACAGATTGGTGGGGTGCCATTGCAGCAACTGAACATTCCCCTGAGATCTGGCCGGCAAGCAGCTCCCTCCTTAAAAAGTTAAAAAAAAAAAGAGAAATTAAACCAAAATAGAAAAAAGAAAGAAAAAAGAATCTGACGCACAATTAAAAAGGGGCGATGTTATAAAGACCTTGCTGGTTCATCACACTTATTGCTTTTTACCTCTATAGTTCACTGACCTATCACAAGTATTTTAAATCCAAAATTTCACATGTTTCAGTTCGTCCCCCCAAAAAACTTATTGCTACCGTCTGAAGGGATGAAAGAAAGATATCCAAACAGACAATTATCCCTCTATACTCAAATCCAAACAATTCTTTATGTCCATTTCTCCTGAAATCTAGACTGGCTATGTGATAAACCAAATGCTAGACAATGGATGCTTACCTGGCATTAAATAATTTCCCCAAGCCACAGCCCTACATACACTCTTCTTGACTTCTCCTAACATTTCTTGCAACTTTCCTTTTAAATTCAGCATAGTTTTCCCTCCACTCTTTCTGCAGCATAAGGAAAGAAGAACATATTACTTCAATGCTTCAGAAGCCCTAAGTTCAAGAAATGTATGTATAATTTCATTCAGAGACTTACCGCAGCATCTACATTGGCAGGACTTTCATCATTGGGATCCGCAAGCATTGAGATGACACTGATAAGGATAGTTTCAACAGTGTGTACTGGTAGCCATCGCTCAGAAGCTTTCTCATAGCCATATTTATCATCACCAGGTTCGTGTAAAATGGAGATACAAACATCTCCATTCTTTTCAACTGAAAGAGTAAAATGTTTAAATTAATGACTAGTCAAAAATTAAAAACACAATGCACATTAATGATTTTGAAGCAATAAACTTACTATTGGGATGCCAAATTTCTGTCATAAATTTCATTCTAGGTGGCCGCAATGGGTATTCTTTTGGAAAATGAAGGTGGGCTTTAAAAAAGCCACCCTCGCTATAATTTAAAAAAAATAAAAAATAAGATTAAATAGTCCATTTGACTTATGGTATAGTTAACAAGTCTAAATACAATTTAATCAATAGAAATAACGATTAACTTACTATAGTGTATCTGGGGGGCCAATAATGAGGACTTCCCATCTGTATATATCATTGTCATCTATCAAGCCTGCAGAAAACCCTTCTACAGGGTTTTTATTCAGCTCTGGAAAGAAAAATATAATCAATAAGTCAATGATGTAACAGTCAGAGCAGTCGTTGGTAATAGTTAAGGGAAATAGGAAATTGCATGTCATATGGTTATGAAATATCACATCAAGGTCTAGATTCTCAGGAAGTGAACAGCTCAACACAGGCAAAGAGCCTTGACAATCTAACCTTGAAAATGAATGTGCACAAGCCATGAGGCTTACAACAGCTTATCTCTCAAATAGTACAAAGTTAAGTACAATACATTTAACCTTTCTGGACTTTAACTAATATATGATTAGGTGCTGAGATCAAGTAATCAATGAAAATCTTTCAAAAGAGGAAAGGGTTATCAATGGCAGAAGGTAGAGTTCTCAGACTGACACTGGTCACATAACCTCCACACAAGAGAGAATGCTTCGGCCAAAAGTGGCCAATGGGCAAAACAAATAATGCTCCCATCTGACTGTCTTCAATAATTCCTGTTCTGTTCGGATCATAATTTTAAATAGAGCCGGGTACTGGGTCCCCACAGGAAGATCAAGCAAACGGCCGACCGAACAAAACAAGAAAATTGACATGAGCAATTTGGCCTAACAAAGAACGGATTTTAATTGGGTCACACCCAATGCAATGCGATTCTAAAACTATCAAAACTAAGAAGACTAGCGAGAGCGGCAAACCCCAGAGCACAAAGCGAACAGGACCTCATGTTCCCAAACAAAGATGGGGAGTCAGGACACCTAACCCTACTCGGCATTAAAAAAAAGTCACTACATAAAGGAATAGTGAACAAACTTTAAAAAAGTGCATCAATTATACTCCCGGAATTAGTTGATATGGCAGTATACGATCAAGAAACAGAATTGAGCAAAAGTTAGAAAGCGTGAATCTCAAGGTAATCAGGCCTGAGTAAAGCTGACTTTTGTCAATAAAAGTTAAAGCGACTCCCCACACAAATAAATCCACAAAATTTTCACAATTACCTGCGAGTTGTTTCCGTAATAAAAGTGCGGACTGTGGTTCTGACATGAATATAGAAATACTTTAAATTTTCCTAGTACAAAACAAATAGCTCTTTCTCCCTGAAAACGGCTATGGTTGATGGAGCCGACTTGCGCATGCGTAAACCTAAAAGCTGTGCTGTTTCCTGACCGGAAATATGAGAATGCTACCGTTCGTAAAACGACACTGGCGAACTCTATAGGAGATGGGAACGGCGGGAAGTTTGTACAGCTGCGGTTCGGCACACAAAAGATAAGAAATTTACCCCAGCAGAGAAGGAGATATGTACATTTCAGACACTGTGAGGGAAGTATTTTTTTCTAGTTGTAAGAAGTGGTACGAAGGCAATCAGAGAATAATCAGCTAATGATGCAGCTGAAACTGTGCTGCATGCAAGCCCCCCCCTTTTTTTCCATGTAACGTCACTTTCTCGAAAATCAACGTAAAGGGGAAAAGACGCTGAAGAAAAAAGCTGTCACTTCTTGCAAAATAATGCGATTTTCTTGTATTTAAAATTGGCATGACAGTTTCGTTGGCTGCCACGCCACTTTCCTGGCACCCGCCCCGCGACTGCAGCCCCTGCAGCCAGTGCATAGGCAACCCGACGTACTGGTATGTCTTAGCCTGGACACCCGCGGTATGCCCCATTACACCTTACAATAGTAAAGGGCGTAAGGGTGAGAGGGAGAATTCCGAATTTTAATTGAACGGGCTGAGTTCACCTTCAGAATGCATGCTGTGCAGAGCCCCCTGAGGCCCAGCCCAGAGTCCTCACTTTGGGACAGCCGCCGACGCCGACAGAACACCGAAAGCAGGCGGGAAAAGCGGACCATGACCAACTCCACCTCGCGGATAGGCAAATGTTCAATGCCGCTCTCAAGTTGCAACCAGGACGACATGATGACCCCGTCGGAAGTCGGGCAGGTGTTTCCGCGGGGCGTCTGAACCTCTTATGGCTGGCCCCGCCAGCCCCACACGGCGACTGACAGCTTCGCGAGGGCCGTTCCGTTCCGTCCTGTCCTCTCCTTTCCGGCGCGGCCCCATGGCCCTCCGGTCCCCGCAGCGGTCCTGGTGGTGCTGCACGCGCTCCGCTGTGCTTCGCTCACAGACTGCCGAGCCCCGCCACCCTGTTTATACTACCAAAGTTCTGCAATAACTGCCTGGTGATGACAGCGTAATGTGTAGAGGCGGGGCAGCCCGACCGATGCGTGCGTGTGTGAGTGTGCGTGCGCATGTGCGTGTGTCTATGTGTGTGTGTGAGGAGCAACAGTAAGGGGAGGGGGCGGGGGCAAGGGTCGGGAGAGCGGCGCGGCGGACAGGCGGCGCGGACTACACGGACGGCGGCGGCGGCGGCAGGCGTGGGGGTGGAAGCAACGGAGAGGTGGCCGTCGACAGACATATTGATGGCGCGGGGCACCAGCAGCAGAGGGCCGTCGTGGCACTGCCACTTCCACCGAGAGGAGAGAGAGGGAGGGAGAGGGAGAGCCAGAGAAAAAGAGAGAGAAAGAAAGAGGGAGAGAAAGAGAGGCGAGGGTGAGGGGGAATGGGGGAATGGTGGTTGGTCCCTCTGTTATTGAAAAGTTGGAAGGTGGAGGAAAGCGCGCGCGAGCGCACGCGCAACAGTGGCAAAGCAAGCAGCAGGAAATGAGAGGGAAAATATTTAACGGTGATATTTTACAGCGCGCGCCTGCCTGCCCTTCCGGCCGAATCTCTGGCGCGGCATCATTGCCCTGATGCGCCGGATGGCGGTTACGATAGGGAGGGGGCTGGAGGAAGGGGGTGGCATCAGCGTGGGTGGTGGTTTTGGGTGGTGTTTTCAGCAGGCCCTGCAGCAGCCCGCCCAACCCCCCCTGCAGCTGCCTCTAGGGCGCGGCGCCTGGCAGCGTGGTGGAGGTGATGGAGGCGGGCCCTGGCCCGGGGGTCATAAAGATGCCCCGCGGAGAGCAAAAGTGCGAGTGAGCGGCAGCGCGGGAGTTCCCTCTTGTTGAGAACAACGGAGATGGCCGTCGTGCCGAGTTTGGATGGAAAGCAGCTGAGAGAGGCAGAGGTGGGGCACGGCAAGTGTGAGGGGCGCAGGGGGAATGCCCTGGTGCGGTGCGGTGGCGCACGCCCGCCTGCTCGACCAACAGGACCCCGTCATCCATCACACACACTCGTGGCGGGCCGCGCGGGGTCGCGGCTGGCTCGGCGGCCCGTCGTCGCCGTCGCACCTTGCCGAGGACGCGGCAGGAAGCAGCACGTAACGTATGGACGGCCCCCCGCGCCCGCGCTGCTGCTCCTCTCCATTCGTTTCCTCGGCTCTCGACGCGTCGTGCGTCCGCATCGGAAGCGAGGCGTGGGGATGATGAGCGATTAGTCTTCGGGCGGCGAAAGGGGAAGGGGGGCGTCGTCATCATCATCGGGCTGCCTCAGAAGGGCCAGGATCAGTCAGAGCAGCAGCGGTTTCAGGAGTTCAGCGTCGACGAGTTTGGCGCTGGAACAGACTCTCGCAAAACGTCGCCGAGTGCGTTCCGCGCTATTCTTGGAATGAATCTTCTCCGTTTCGCCGTTGTCCGTCAACACGGTGACATACCTAGGCATTTTGCAGAGATCAGCGGTTCCACGCCGCCGTGCGCGCGAGAGTGCCGTGACTTCGGGCCGCCGCCCCGTGTGCGACGCGGGGACGACGACGCGCTGCTGCAGGTCGCTGTTCCGACAACAATCAAAGCGAGAGAGAGACCTGCGGCCGAGCGTGGCGGGGCGGGGTGGGGCGCGGTCCTCTTGAGGGGCGCGCGAGCACCGCGGCACCGGCACCGCGGCGGCGTTGGAGAGAACAGCGTCGCACAGTTGCCACTCGGCGCGCAGGCGTTGACGGACTAACGGCCGCGGGGGCCGCGGGGGCAGCGGGAGCAGCGGGCCCCGCGGCGGCGGCCTGGTGTGGCGGCGGCTGTGGGGCGTATGCGCGCGTACACAGCCAAGCCGTAAGGCGCAGAGGGCAGTGCTCGGTGTTCGCGTGCCTGGGCTGGCTGGACCTCGGAGCTGCCCCCGGGATCTCATCCGGCGCCTCCCTGTCGCTTTGATAGTGAAGGTGTCGTTCACGCCGACACAGCTGAAGTGGCGGTCGCCGGGGCGCGCTACGCCACGATTGGCTACGAGAACGCGGGGCCCCACCACGGGCGGGGCGGGCGCGGCGCACCACAGTGGCGACGGACCGGCATCCACCCGCGACCCCCGCGACCGCAACCCTGTGCTCCCCTGTGTGGCACCCCGGTACCCTGGCGCCTCTAATGAGTTGCTCCCTGCTCCCTCCCTCCTCACTGTCACGCCCTCTTACTTGCGCGCTCTCTGACCCTCCCACGGCTTGCCCCCCTTGCCGGCAAATACATAAGGGAAGTCCCGGCAGCGAAGCGAAGCGAAGCGTATTATGTGTTGTGGCCCACGGACCCTTTTGCTGACTCGTGTGTGTAGGCGTACTGCTCGAGGAGGTGACCTGTTCCGGATGACCTTGATGTGCGAGGCTGCCTTTTGGCGCACCGAGGGCGGAAGGCGTTCCGTACGAGCCCCCCCCCCTCCCCCAACAAAAATTCTCTCACGGATAAAGTGCTAGCCATAAGCGTAAAGTCCTGAAAAAATACCGGTGTCTGTCACGTGAACTGCGCAAAGTCCCCCCCCCCCCCCAACAAAAACTCTCTCGGATAAAGTGCTAGCCATAAGCGTAAAGTCCTGAGAAAATACCGGTATCTGTCACGTGAACTGCGCAAAGTCCCCCCCCCCCCATTTTCCGGATCCACGTCAACGCTGCTGACCCCATCGCTTTAGTCCGCGTCCATTCATCAGACGAAGAGGACACTGTAAACAAATGGAAGCAGTTAGTATCGTTTCATCGCGGGGTGAAGGGACCGAGGGACCGCTCGGGGGGCTGGGGCCTGTCGCGGCCCCACGGCCCCACCCAGGCCCCGCGGCCAATGTGCGCCGAGGAGGCATGGCCGAGGCCCCCACGAGTCCCGCGGGGGGAGGACCCCACCGGGGCCCCGGCAGCCAATGAGGAACGGGGCCGAGCGGGCGTCGCGGCGGGCGCGGGGGGCGCGCGGCTGGGCGGCGGTGGGAGCCCCTTCCCTCTGTGTATCCTCCCGCGCCCGCTCCCCCGCCCCCGCCCCGACCGCGGCCGCGCCGTTAAGACGCCGTAACCGCACAGGACAATGGAGGAGGGCCGGGCCCGCGACATGGCGGCCCCACCACCTGCCGTCCAGTTGGCCGTTAGGCCCTTCACTCTCCCGAGCGCGGTGGGCCAATCTCCGACCCGGCGTCAGGCGCTCCGCGGGCGACCGGCGTTGTGATATAGGAATGCATGGACACACATAATGTTCTGGACTTTGACCTACCCCTTCTCTCCCTCTAGAGGTTCCAGGGTGACATACCAGGTGGTTCACTCATGCATTCGTAGTAATACTGCACCGCGTATGCAGGCGCAGGCGTGCGTGCGGGTTGCCTACTCACACGGGGCCGGAAGGAGCGAGATAGGCAGACTCACCCGCACTCGTGCATGCGGTACAGTATAACTACGAAAGTGAATCAGCCACCTTTTAGGATGAATGAGCCAAAATAATTCGCGGGCAGGGAACACTATTACGTGAGGCCGTTATGAGCTCACCAAAGTCCTAACGGCGTCGGCAAAGTAGGCAACAGGCAATAGGCAACCCACCTGCACAGGCGATTCCGCGATTGCGCGAGAGGGACAAACGATCGCTGCTTCCCGATTACCTATCCACAAGCTCCGCACGTCACTCCAATTAACTTCTCCCCAACTAATGTGGATCATTATCCAATGCGTAAAACTCCGTAAAGAAGTGACAAAGATGAAAGAAGATTTGAAGTACACCGGCTTCTGTGTGTGTCGGAACGTATGAGTGTGAAGCGCCCCCCCCCCCTTTCCCCCCTGACTGCTTTGCTTTTCCTTCTTGCTACTTCTGCTATGGAATACCGAATCGTAAGGAAGGCTGCAATCGTTCTCACATTTAAGATTTAATTTTTCATCTCCCGATAGCGATAACGCGCTCCTCTGGTAGAAAAGCGTAACTCACTTTTGCCCGTGTCTGTTACCCTCCAGACGCTCATTGGTCTACATGACAACTCAAAGGATGAGTCCAGATTCGGCTGGCGCACTTGTTTGATTTCTGGGTTTCTTCCAGAGAGGAATACCCTATTCCCCACGGATCGGTGTGTTTCCCTCGCCAAACGTCTTACGTATAAAGTAGGATGAGCAATTATTTTGCCGTTCGGTTATCGCCCTCCCAGCTTGAGGGACCACATGTGAGAGGAGAGGAGAGGCCTTTTGCCTTACTACACAATTTGTCGGTCATGAACCTCCAGGAACGCCCATCAAGCCAAAGCAAAAAAAGGAAACAGAAAAAATGTATCCTTTTCCTAAATATCTGGCATAAAAAATAAAACCTAGAGAAATACATCTTTCGAGAAATGCCTGGAACAGGGAAACACCATGCACAAAAGCCAGAAGGTGATCTTGAACGTCAGTGTGCCTGTTGTGCAGGGGTGCGTGTGCGTGTGTGTGTGGGCGTGTGTGTGTGCGTGCGTGGTGTGCGTGCGAGGGGAGTGGAGGGGCAGGCAGATCATTTACAAACAGAGTGGCCTGGCTCGAGAGTAGTGGGAGAAGGGGGGTAGGGGGGAGGGCGCTAACGCTCGGCAGGGCACACTGCTTGCCCC